CCCCTGGCCCGCCCCCCTCACCGCCACAAAAGCCACCAGCAGCACCACCGCCGCAACCGCCACCAGCGGCGCCAGCCCCCGCTTCCGCCGCTCCAGCGCCGCGACGAACCGCTCCACCGCAGCCGCGGCGCCGCCGCCAAAGCCGCCGCCGCCCTGCAGCGCGCCGAACGTCTTCCCGGCGCCGCGCCCCGCGCCGGCGCCGCCGCCCATCGCGGCCGCGGCGGCGTCGGACGCGATGCGCGCCTTGAGCGCCGCGTTCTCCTGCACCCAGCGCGCGAGCTCCTCCCTGTGCTGCGCGGCCGCCTGGGCCGCGAGGTCGCGCAGCGCGTCGCACTCGCGCTGCGCCTGGGCCTTGGCCTTGCTTAGGGATGTCAGCTCAGCCGCGAATTGCTGCAGGGCGGGGGGGGGGCGCAGGCTGGTGTCGCTCGGGCTCGGCGCCGGGCGTCGGCGTCGGGGTCGGGCAGGCTTGTGCGGCGGACGCGCGGGGCGCGGGCGGGGAGAGGGGAGGCGTGGGCGGCGCACGGGAGGAGCGAGGCGGCGGCGGCGCTCGAACCGCAGGCGCCGCCCGTGGGGGCCGCGGCACGCGGCAGACGGCGGACGGCGGGCGCGCGCAGGCCGCGGGCCGCGTGCGCTTGCCCGCGGGTGCGACCGCGAGAGGGATGGGGGAGGAGGGGCCTCACATCCTCTGCCGCTGATCTGAGGTTGGCCTCTGCCGCTGATCTGAGGCGCACCACCTCATCCTGCAGCTCCTCCACCTGGAGGGGGTGGGGCAGTTGTGGGGGCGAGGCAGCATGGATTTGGGGGTGGCAGCTGAAAAGCGGGGGTGGGCGGGGATGGAGGTATACCTTTGTGTTGTGGTGTGGTGTGTGGTTGCGTCTTGCGTGCGTGCTTGGATGTGCGTGCATGTGTGCGTGTGGAAGGGTGCGCGGAGTGCGCGCACATGTGCTGTTTGCAAGACGCGCAAGCGTCAGGAAAAGCACGCCCTGTCGAGAACCGCTATGCGAGTGCGGGGCCCCTTGCACGTGCGAGACGATGCAGGCGTGTGAGCGCACGAGTGGATGCTCTCAAGCCACGCGCGCGTGTTCTCTGCGCCACTCAGCAGGAGGCCAATTTAAGCAGGCAGCGTGACACCTGCGCCAGCGCGCCCGCGCACCTGCAGGCCCGCCTGCCGCTGCGCCTCCCGGAGTCGCTCCTCCCACTGCACCGCCGCCGCCCGCACCGCCTCGCGCACCGCGGCCTCCCTTCGGGGTGTGGCGGGCAGGCGCGCGCGTGCACTGCATGAGCGCGCCGCACCCCTCCCAGGCCCCGGGTGAGGCTGCTCTCGGCCGCACTCCACGCGCCCCGCCCCCGCCCCCCCC